ACACACATATACACATGGCACACACACACACACACACACACACACACACACACACACACACACACACACACACACACACACACACACACACCACACACACACACCTCAGACCTCAGATCTCAGACATGCCCATCGCGGAAGCGATGATAGCGAACAGCTATGTTAGACATAGCAACTTGTGCTGGGATTACACCATTCAACAGCTTGCAAGGCTGATGAATTGACCGCCACTATTTTTAGCCTGGTATCCACCACACAGCTGTTTTGAAGTGACTTTGTCTGGCCAGTGAATCCCTATTTTCCATTTTTCCATTTTTTCTACACACACACCACACCACATACTCCGGCATACACTGGCTGTTGGTAACCACCCAGGAGAATGAAAGAAAAGTCAGGAAGAGTCCGAGAAAGAGAAGAAAGACGTGTGCGACCATAATCGTCGGGAACTGAACCCGCAACCTCTCGATTGGAAATCGACTGCACATACCACTGCACCATATGGGACACACACACACACACACACACACACACACACACACACACACACACACACACACACACACACACACACACACACACACACACACACACACACACACACACACACACACACACACATGCACACCTCTTAGTTTCAACGCAGTCATATGTACTGGAAGGCTGAAACATTGACCCTGATAGAACTTTTAATTCTGTGACAGTCAGACATGCTCAAGAAGGGTAACAGCATCTCCTCTGTTTCAAAAAATATGACGATGGCAACTCAAAAGCGTTTCAATATCTTGGCTTACCTTATCATTGCTCCAGCGGAAATACGGCTTGGCGCCGAATGAGAAGATCTCGTACAGAACAACACCATAACTCCAGACATCGCTCTCCGTCGAGTAGGTGCGGTAGCGTATTGACTGCAGCAGGCAAAGACATGACACGGACAACTGGAGTGAGAGCCTGGTTTGGGAGACCACCACTTGAAAGAGTGTGTACTTTTAAGTTTTTACACTTTCCTCCGGCAACTGTGTTACTTAGGTTTAGATGTATTCCAAGCAACACACGGCTGGGGTAGCCAATGACCATTCAGGGGCGTGGGAAGGTATTTTAGTGTGGTGCGGTCAGCCATCTGAAGTACAATTTACTCATGCGGGAGTGGTGGCTGAACCGAAAATTTTGGAACTTTAGATCCCAGATCAGTGTATTTTGTTGATTCACGGGGTACCTGGGGAAAAAGGTGGTACGGTTAATACCGTAGTGACTGTACCGTGTGTAACACCCCTGCCACTTTGTGTGGTGATTGCAGGGTTTCTATAGCTAGCAAGGAAAAGAGTAGGAAGTCGAAAAGAAAAGGAAAAAAGAAAAAGAAGCAAATGTGGACTAAACATAGAAAATACGGACTAAAATTGTGGTCTAAAGCAAGGCGTTCCTGAATGCTGTTGAAGAAGGAATGTCTATGGTATAGTGATCACGAGCATCGTAGAATGGCCAACTCCGGATTCCCGCAACCACAGTGAAAACGTCAATAAAACATAGTACGTATTTTGGAGTATAAGCCGCACTTATACTCACCAGTAATTCACCCAAAACAATTCGGTGCGGCTTTTGCTACGATGATCAACATACGTTCTGACTTGGTGTCAAAGATCCGCAGGCTGCATATACTAGTGCACTATGCACTATGTCCAGTGGACAGAGCCAGTAATGCAACTCACAAAATTAATAGCAACCAGGTCCTTCCTTGCCGTTACCCGGAGTTTCGTGTCGGAACAAAACACTCATGAGCTGTCTGCATGATGAGTGGTTTCAGACACGAAACTCTAAGTAACGGCGAGAAAGGACCTGGTTGCATGTTTGTGTTTTTGTGAATTGTATATTCTGACTTGCGTAGAAAGTCTTGAGAGTGACATGTACAACACAACAATCATTCACGTACCTCTGGCGATGTCCATTTCACCGGGATCAGACCACCTCCAGACATGTGGTAGTCATCATCAGCTACTGTACGTGACATTCCAAAGTCACAAATCTACAACAAGCCAGGTAAGAAGAACAGTTAGATAGATAATCACCACAAAGATGCCCAAGAATACCACCACAGCTCGACTTCATTGTACAGTTGCGCTCGGTGAAATCCGACCAAGAGTGCATATTTGGCGCCCTCAACTTGCACAGCCCTTGACGACCAGGAAGTGGCACGAATGCGGCTGGCCATACACATGTACAAATACAACGATGTAAGGGTCGGATTTCACCGAGCGCAATTGTCGTGCCTACAGCAGGGATGAATTTATCCTGTATCGCATCGCAGTTTGCGATGCAACATCGATCTGCTGCTACACAAAAGTCACTGTGACTCGCAGAAAATTGCGATACATACAGACTATCCATGCCTAGCCTGTGCTATCAAGTCATACAGTGCAGTGTATGTGGTGCAGGCACTCTCAATCTGCGTGCACATGTATGCTTCAGTCGGTTTTTTGCAAATGGGCTTTCAGGCATCACTCTCAAG